AATATATATATGCATATTCATGGAGCACTGTTAATTTAATATCAAACTATAAAGAAAATAAACAATTCAAATGTCCATTGATAGGATAATGGATAAACTGTGGTAGTATATTTAAATATTTATATTTATACAAAGAAGTAAGAATGAATAAACTACCACTATGTGGGACACTATTGATGGAATCTTAGAAATATTATATTAATAGCCAAGTCCAAAAAGACTACATGCAATGAGATACCAAATTAGGATATATTTCACAAAAATGACAAACACAGAATATATAGTTTAGTTATACATACATAAGTGACAAAACTACTATTAAAAAAGCATGGAAAAGAGAAATACAAAATTCATGAAAATGGGATAGGCAGGGGGAAAGGAAAGTGGATGAACACATTAAGTTATTGGTAATAAGCTATTTCTTGGGTTGTGTGGCAAGCTTACTGAAATTTGTTATACTAATGGCTTTTTACTTTTATGCATATTAATATTCTTTATTATATTCTTTTATATGTACCAAGTATATTTTAAAACTGTTTAACTTGAAGAGCAAACCCTCACAAGGTTCTTATTAGATATTTAGATTTCAATAAGCAAAAGTTCACATAGATTTTCACCTGCCTTCAACTCTAACAATATAATGGGTTCAAATCTGGATATATAATATCAACAACATATTTCTGACTAATAGCTAAGCCAGAAGAAAACAGTTACTTCCTGGACCAAGACTATAAACATCAATAGAGAATTAAATTCTATTTCATATCCCACTAAGTCTGCAGCCTGGCAAGGTGCCTCAATACAAAGACGGCACTCTATTAGTGTCGGCTGAATGAATAAGGTATCCAAAAGGCCTATGCTTTGCACAGCTCATGACTGAATATTCTGAACTTATGTTCAAGAGATACAGAAACTGAATTGACACTAGGTTGCTCAGAAGGCACTTGCTATGCTCAGGTATCTGAGTCTTCATTTCAATTTTCTTAATGACAGCTGTTAGATGGAATAATAAAAAGAGAACAATGGGAATTCTGAGCATATGGAGAAAGGATGAAAGGCAATTTTAAAAAATTCAAATTCAAAGAATATGATTTTCTAAACAACATGAGGACTTTTATTAACTGCAGTAAATATCTCCTAAATACTTATCAATAAATTTAGTGAAATTTTGCCAAATACCAAATTGACTTTAAACATGAAAAAAAGAAGTTAAAGAAAAAAATTCTGAAATGGTTTATTTTCATGTGCTGGCAAATATTTTTAAATGTCTTGCTAATTGGGATGATCTCATCCTATCATTGGCTAATATTTCAAAGAAAAATCGTACAAATTAAGAAAGCACTTATTGTTAATAGCAGTTATTAAATAAAATTTCAAACAGACTTCTTTAAAATCTAGCACTTTTCAACTTCTCAGATCCAAAGAGATCCACCATTAAAAAAATCTCATAATTTATATTAGGAGAAGGGGCAGAGCTACCATTTTCTCATTATTTGTTCTTGCAGGATTATACTGTCTTCAACCCGCCGACTCTTTGAAGAAATCTTTTAAAGCCACTTGGCATTGTGGTGAGGGTTAATTTACAGAAAAAAATGGATAATACAAATCTTAACTGGTACTTGGTAGCTTCCATACATCACAACATGCCAAAGAGAACCAACCCAGTGAAGAAGCTGCCCACCTGAACACACTCCCTTCTCTCAGAAGACTTGGGACCAACAGATACATTGGGTGGTGGAAAGCATCTGTGTCTTTCCAGAATGGGAAAAAAAAAGTTGTAACATTATTTTATGTTTTTAAGTAAAAACCATAAATCTTAAACTCCACTGGATCCTCTTGTGCAGCCTGTGGTGCGGCATCTCACTGTGGAAAGCACTGTTTTAGAGAATACACAGTCCACCCTTCCACATCAAAATGTTCACTAGTTACACTTTATTGTTTATTCACTAACTAGAGGCCGATGCATGAAATTCGTGCAAGGGGCTTGGCCCTCGCAGCCGTGGGTTCCTCCGGAAGGTCGTCTGGAAGGATGTTGGGAAGGTCATTCGGCTGTCCGGTCTAATTAGCATATTATGCTTTATTATTATAGATTACACAGAAAAGTCATGATGACCATATTTTGTCCCCTGCAGTGACTCTATACCTTCCAACCTCAGGCTTCATAGCCCTGTCTGGCAACTGCTGAATAAGCTTTATAGGACATTAATTTATTTGAAAAAACAGCAACACTGACATTCTGATGAGCAGGAAACAAAAATACAAGCTACAAATAAAAAGATAATGGAAGTGACACAGATGTTCCAACTGGTGGATGGGAAAATCAAACTCTATTTTGTAGTAATGTTTTTTCCCACAGCATGTTCTTTATGAACATCATGTCATTATTATACCATCCTGGCTAAATACAGTCACTTTATATATGCAAAAATGCAGGCTGTTATGCATTATTCTGCTCTTTGGTCAAATAAAAGAATTCTAATACATTTATTTTTAATCAGCTGAAGGGAGAGGAGAGGAAACACTGACAACTTTGGCATAGAATGTTTCCCAGTTGAGCAGTAAGGATTATGGCATGACATTTTAAATACTGACTCATACTAGTATTTTTCAATTTGTTTTTTTATGATCTTTTTAACATAAACATTGATCTTTAGTTATTTGAGATGTGTTTTTCCAATCTTCTGAGATTCTCTAGCAAAATATTTTTAAAGCAAATAAAATTTAAATCCAAAAATCTAACGGAGTCAAATCTGGACAGCTTAAAAAATGTATTAAAGGTAATATGGCAAGACTAACACAAGAAATTTACAGCGTAAATACTTGTGCTTGGTCTAAACATCTTGTCTTTCACAGACTAACACAGCAGAGAGACTGGATGAAAAGGTGCATCAGAGGCCGTTTTTGAGGACATATTACAATTGTAACTTTGGAAATACTAAAGCCTTCTTCTAGTAATGTAAGTTTTAGATTGTGAATGTAGTTAACAACAGACAAAACAGGTTGAGAAAAAAGTTAATAATGGTCAGTAATAACGTAAATCTTGGGAAGCATCTTTTAAGGCAGCATTTATGAAAATTCAGAAACTTGAATTTATGCCATTTCTGCTGTATATGGGTATTAAATCTCTAAGACCAGAACACCAAATCACAGTCAACAAACTACAATGTGGTTCACACTTTTAGAGCATGTTTAAAACTGCAGAATAAGTTGGAAAATCTTTTTTTTTTTTTTTTACACCTTGGCAAATTACACTATTTAGAAATTTACAATGTCTCCAAATGATGCAGGAGACAAAGTGTTCTGGCCAGGAATACAGTGAGGCCAATTTACTTTTACCTTCGACTCTCAGGCTTAGTTAGTTCTAAATGTCATTTAGCCGCACCATACTGTCTGCCTTGAACAGTCACATTTTCCAAAGCAGCCGGACAACTTTCCTGGGTGGGGCAAGAGCTGAGAAGGAAAAGGCTTCATTTTGGATTGCTCTGGCGCTGGAAAATATTTAGCACCACACCCTCCACAGAGGCCTAACGCAGAAAGGAGTGGCGTCCAGTCAGTCCCTGGGGCCTGGCACAGCCCCCAACCCAAACACGGTGGGATCAGAGCACACAAGTTTGGCGGCGGCGGGGCTTGGGGCCCCTGAGAGCGAAGGGACCGTCAGGAAAATGTCCCTCCTTTTCGAGCCTCTATTAGACCTAGGATCCGAGAGCATCTCATGTATTCACTGATGGAGCTTTATTTTTTTACCCGATCAAGCCCGCATGCCACCACCGGAGCGGACCATTAGTCAGCACCAAGGTGGAAACGAGCGCCCTCGGGCCGGGCGCGGGCAGCGGGGTCTTCCGGGAGGAGGTGGGAAGGGGAGCATCGGCGCCCAGCGCCTGGGTGACAGCAGCCCTCCGCGCCCTCGGCCCCCCGGCCCCACACCGGGACGTGGGAACGATTAGGCACCGGCTGACCTGCGCGGGTCCCTGGGGCGGCCGGGGAGCCGAAGGGCAGGCTCGAGGTAGGAATCTGGGGGCTGGGAGGAGGCTGCGGGGACCCGATCTTCACCTCCCAGCCCCTCGCCGCCCCGCTCACGCCCACCTCCCAGCCCCTCTCCCCAACTTCAGCCCTCTGCCCCGCGAGCCCGCGCCGCGCTCCGCCGCCCTGGCCCCCCGCAGCCCGGCGCGCCTCGCCGCCTCCGACTCCCTTACCTTTCCATTCCTGGGGCTGCCGTTAAGGAACAGGGTCACCCGCCTCATCGCGCTGACCCCGCTGGGTCCTGAGTGAGTCGCCACGCTCCCACCTGGCTCTCTCCCCACCTTTTTCTTCTCCCGCCCTTCCCCACCCTCCACCCACTCGGACTCTCCCCCCTTCGCCACCTTCCTTCTCTTATAGACACACACGCACGCACTCTCCGTCCCACACCCCCGGGTTGGCCGGTCCTCCTGCCCACCCCGCCTCTGGGCGCTTCAGCCAGCCTGGGGCCCTTCCCCCAACCTCCCCCAGAGTGACTCTAAGCTCGACCAATCAACGGGCGGCACCGGTCAGAACTCCGCCAATCATCACCTTGTACTGGGTGGGCTCATACTAACTCCGCCCCGGTGGAGGGAAGAGAGCGCGGCTGCGGTCTGGCAGGGAAGGACTCCCAGCCAATCAGAGCAGAACTTGGAGCCGGACGGGGGCTCCGAGCGTTAAGGAGCAGGCGCAAACCCAACAGCAGGTAGACCTCATCTGCATACGGAGGTGGGGCTTGAGGGAAGTGGAGGCTAAGAAGTGACTCGCAGGCCTCGGCGCCGGCGGCTGTAACCCCGCCCTTCGCTCAACCCCCGGAGGAAACGGCTGCCGTCGGAGCTGGCTGATTGGGTTAGAACCACCCCATCGTTCTGTCAGGATTGGTCCAATGATTCTTTTCGAAGTTTGCAGCATCCAATCGAAAGACAGGAGGGGCGGATCGCAGAGCTAACCGTAGGGTTCCTCCGCGAGACTCTCACGGTAAGTAGTCCCCACGGACACGGGGTAACAGGTGTTCCCTCTGCTCAGTGAGTCCCCCGCAGCTAGCGGTCGCTTCTCCCCGAAATCACGAACCCCCTCGTGTTCCCGGGACCGGGAAGTAGAGGCCTCGGAGGTTTCGGGGCGCGCGCGGACACTGCGGGTGGCGGCGGCGCAGAGGTTCCTGGAGTAACGTCGGTGAGCCGCGGGGGCGGGGCGGGCGATTTGAATCCGGAGGCGGGCGGCGGCCGCGCGGAGCTGAAGGCTAGATTCCGCGGGCGACGGGTCGCGGTGGTCGGTGGCCCGGGACGCGGCAGTCGTCCAGGCTGCTGGCTCTCGAGCGAGCCCTGCAGGACGGAAGAGCCGAGGTTTAGAAGGCAAGGCCGCCACGACCCTCCCGTGCTGCGGCGCGTCCACGGTAACCCCGGGCGAGAGGGGCCGGAGGTAGGGTCTGGCTTTCAGGTGTCGCACACGGCCGTGCTGTGTCTCAGGAGTGTCTTCTCCTTACCCTGCCCCACGGAGACAGTGGTTCTCCTGCGACCGGGGCAGGTTCAACCCGCGTGCTTTCCAAAATGCAGATTTCTGGGGCCCAGCCCGACCCCCTGAATTAGAATTTCCGGGATTCCACGAAGCTGGGCCCTTAGCAGGGGACGCGGATGACTCAGATGTTCTCTAAAATCGAGAAGCCAGGGCCTATAGCAAAGATTGTCAACCTTTTTTTTTTTTTTTTAATCTCATGGCACACATAAACGAATCACCAAAATTCTGTTGCATACAAAAAATATGTATTTTTTGCCAATCTGACAAAATAATAGGTGTGATTTGGATTCATTCACACCAGACGGCTATTGTGTTGGCTGTTGTCCCTTTTTAAATTGACAATCCGATTGTGGTTCTCAACCTTCTGGCCCTTTAAATACAGTTCCTCATGTTGTGGTGACCCCCAACCATAAAATTATTTTCGTTGCTATTTCATAACTGTAATGTTGCTACTGTTATGAATTGTAATGTAAATATCTGATATACAAGATGTCTTAGGCGACCCCCGTGAAAGGGTCATTCGACCGCAAAAGGGGTTGCGACCCACAGGTTGAGAACCGCTGAAAGGGAAAAAGAGGTCAGGGCCCCTGACGAAACAGCCAGGTAGTGCATGTTTTTAAACATTCTTGCAGCACATTGGTTGGAAATTGCTGGCTTATAGTATGGGGCTTGCTTTTTTTTTTTTTTTTTTTTCCCCAAACAGCAGTTTCCTCCATTTCCCTCTAATTTGAGTTCCAAAAGTACTCTCCACATCTAATTTCATGCCAATGTAGATTGTATTTGAGTTCAGTCTTGAATGAGGATCTTCATTAAATCACATTAATCTGAGGAATGGGGTTCTTTTTTCTCTTCTCTTTTTTTAGATGGATACCAATTCAAAAGACAGCGAGCCCTTTGAAACCAAGGAGCCTGCTGTTAATGCTGGTATGTAGTGATCCGTGGCCTCCTTGTGAAATTTAAGATTCAGGTATTTGCCTTGGTAATGATGCTTAATTAGCCCCCTCAACATCTTGTCTGTTTCAGAAAAGGCCTCTTTCCCTTTGGGAAATGGGAATCTTGTAACATCCCAGAAGCCTGCAGCTGAAGTGATTCCTAATCCTGGCACACCAGATAATTTCAAATCCCCTTTGGACTTCTCCACAGTAACTGTACAGCAATTGGGAATTACGCCTGAAAGCTTTGTAAAGAACTCTGCAGGTAAGAGTATTTCAGTGCTTTTAAAGTTTAAAACTAACTGCAGTATAACTCGATTTGTTCCCCTATCCTGTGTACCTTACTACTTTACGTATCTAAATTGATTGACTCTGAAAACTTGTTTGATCAGAGAGACTTCTGTGGACATGCACAGTTCATCCAGCATAGCAGGAGCCCAGGGTCTGGGCCACCCAGCATAATTATGTTCCTAAGTCAGAGTTGTCCTTCCTGTCCAAACTGGAAAAGATTGTGTGTGTAAATCACGTTTTGACCCAACACATGAGATAGAGTAGTGTGTATACTATAAATAGTAAGACATTTTATGGTCACATATGACAAAAATAAGAAATTTGAAGAGCAAAAATAAGAAAATATTACATTGAATGATTGGAGTTTGCTTCTTTCAAAATCACAAACAGACAGTTGGCTCAAACTAATCTTCAAGGAGTAGAAGGAAAATTCCACTGTGAAGTCTGACTTAGATGAAGGAGAAATATGGGAGAGGAATTAGATTTGAGAATAGCATTTAGAAATGGAAGGTAATGGGGGAGTTGAAAGTCAAAGGGCACTAGACTAATACCTGCTTGAGACAAGACTGAAGTGGCAAGCCATTCCATGCTTTCTTCTCAAGAACATCACTCTTAGACCTGTAAAAATCTACATTTATTTTCTGTGCTTATGCATATGGCCAGAATTCAAGGTAGTGTGCCAAAAGAAGATAGATAGCTAAGAGAAACACCTTACCTTGAAGATTTGAGAACAGGAAAGTGCATGTGCCTAGGTGGAGATAGTTCCTTTCAGTCCATGGGGATTAGACTGGCTAATTCAGAAAGAGAGTTTTGGTCCAAAGCAAGTCATTACTGTGTGCTAAAATATGAAACAAAAGTGAGAACTATTAATTATAAATATAGTCATACATTCGTTCCACACAACTCTGTGTGTGTGTGTGTGTGTGTGTGTGTGTGTATCCTATATAATAAAAAGGCTAATATGCAAATTGACTGAACGACAGAATGACCTGTTGCTATGATGCGTACTGACCACCAGGGGGCAGACGGTCGATGCAGCAGCTGCCCCCTGGTGTCAGTGCACTTCCACAGGGGAGCGCTGCTCAGCCACAAGCTGGCCGACGCTGGCAAGGGCAGTGGTGGTGGCGGGGGCTTCTACCACCTCTGCGGCATAGCTAAGGATGTCGACTGTGAGCGGCCTAAGCATTCAGTCGGACATCCCCCGAGGCTCCTGGGATTGTAAAGGGGTCCGGGGCCCAGGTTGGGTTGAGGGACCCCCCCCCCCCCCCCCCCCCCGCACGAATTCATGCACGGGTGGGGTCCCTTGGGGTAGCCTGTGGGGATTGGGCCAAAACGAGCAGTTCAACACCGCCTGCCGCTCCTGCCTGTGTAGCGGTCAAGCGGAAAGAAGTTAACTAGAAGAGGACGCTCTGCCGGGAGAAGGCGTGAGCCTGCACACAGGCCGCGTCAGAACAAAGTCTTGCACACGAGACTTATTGTTCCAAGGCAGAACTTTCCTTGACGTGATGAATAGTCCATGAGGGCATAGAAAGTTCTGGGGAGGGTGCACTGCTGCAGGTGGAAAGAGTCTTTGTATAACATAGGAAATTAATAGTGTAATGTATAACTTAGCTTTGATAATTTCATAAAGCATGTTTGTTAATCATTGTCACTCGTTGTACTCCATTGTTATTTGCTGTGCTCACCCCCAATAAAAGCCATAAGGGATCAGAGGATCTTGGCTGTTCGCCTGAGCGAGCGGTAGCCCTCTGCTTCTCCGTATCCTGTGGTCCGACTCATCTCTGCATCTCCGTTCACCAAGAACATCAATATGCCTGCTGCTCCCGCTCATCCTGGCCCCGCTGTGCCCAGTCAGTCCTGATTGGGAGAGACTTGTGGCACTGCAGCGGTGCTTGCCAGCCATGACCTCTGCGTCTGGCACCCATCCCAAGTGGGGGGTGGGGGGGTGGGGAGGTGGGACACCCTTGCCGGCCTGGAATCCGGATCCATCCCATTGACGTTCATACTGGTTGTCGGGAGCCACCAGGCGGCCGCTTTTATATCGTTTCTTCCTTGTGGAGCATCTAGGGAGGGGAAGTGGCCACAGTGCCCAAGGCCAACTTCCAGGAGGCCGATGGCACTGCTGGGTTCGTGCTGGCGCCGCAGGTCCGTCGGTGCCTGGCCCGTTCTCCGGAGATTGGACCTGCAGGACTACTGAGGGAGTGAGTGGCTGCTGTCTGGCTGGTGTGTTTGGTCAGCTGAGTGGCATTCTCGCTGTGGGAGCACACTGACCACCAGGTGGTCAATGCGCGTCATAGCGACTGGTCGACTGGTCGTTCAGTCACTTAGGCTGTTATATATATAGATATGTATACATAATTTTTCTTTTTTTAAATCGTCACCCGAGGATATTTTTACATTGGTTTTTAGAGAGAGAGTGGAAGTGAAGGGGAGAGACAGAGAGAAAAACATCTATGTGAGAGAGACACATGGATTGGTTGCTTTTCGCACATGTCCAGATATGGGGCCAGGGATCGAGCCTGCAACTGTGGTACGTGACTGGAATCCAATCTGGGACTCTTCAATCCATGGGCTGGCGCTCTATCCACTGAACCAAACTGACTAGGGATCCATCCAACTATATTTAATAAATACCTCTGTGTACCTGGCAGTGTTCCAGGAACATGGAATAAATCAGGGGTCCTCAAACTTTTTAAACAGGGCGCCAGTTCACTGTCTCTCAGACCGTTGGAGGGCCGGACTATAGTTTTAAAAAAAACTATGAACAAATTCCTATACACACTGCACATATCTTATTTTGAAGTAAAAAAACAAAACGGGAACAAATACAATATTTGTAGTTGCATGTGGCCCGCGGGCCGTAGTTTGAGGACCCCTGGAATAAATCAATGGACAAAGCTTTTTATCCAATTGATCATTTGTGAACAATTTTGCCTATACTCTATCTAGATTTCTGTACCACTTGTTTATCATGTTGTCTCTCAGACTGGTATATCACAGATCTTCAGGACTGAATACTGAGGATTGCCTTGTTTTGTTTCAATTTAAAAGAGTTTTCGTTGTAGGAAAGTCATCATCCTGCCTTAAAAAATCCAGACGACGTTCTACAGTTGGTGTTCGGGGCTCTCCTGAAACAAACAATCTGATTCGTTTCATTGCTCAGCAGCGGAATTTAAAGAATGCAGAGAAGTCTCCTTTGACACAGGATTTCCCTTTTCCGGTATGATTTTCTTTAATTTCTGTCATGAATTCTAGGGAGAATGTTTTGCTTTCGTAAAGTGTTTCTACCTTCCTGTTTTGGATCTGGAGAGATGATAATTCTCTGTCTTATTGGAAGTGTGCATTTAATGTAAATGATGTTGAGCATGTAAATAGGTTTACAGTTGTTCATGTGGAAAATAATACAGTAATATAAATAATAAAAGAATAAATTGTTTTGCAACTGTAAACTTACTTTTGCCAACCCCTATATTAAATGTTACAAGATTCTGGATAGAAACGGCTTTCTAGAGGAGTTTTCTTTTTTTCTTTTGCAAATTTTTTTCTAGTTAATATCTTTTTCTATAGTGAGTGTTTTCCAACCTTTTTCTTTAGATATCTTATCTCTTAACCTGTAACTTTTTTGTGACTACTATATTTTGGCATATAGGGCAAGAGTTTTTAGGACAAAATGTATTTGGGATAACCTGTGGAAGGGAGCAAATTATTTGCCTGCTGATGGGGAACTATTGAGATATTTTTCCAGGTTTTTAGTAGAATAACCAAAGTCAAATAGTACAAGTCTTGCTATGAATGACACAGTCCCCAGTTTATCCTTCTTAAAGGTCAATTGCTTTTGCCTCTTGTGCTATTGGCTTTCCTATTTTAAAATGTACTTACATTGCCCACTTCTTTATTTTTAGACAGTATGTGTGCATAGGCCATGTAGTGCAGTGCAGTAGTTCTCAAAGTTTATCTGCAGATCCCTGGGGATCCCGGAGTTCCCTTCAATATGTCAGAACTATTTTTTGTAAATGTCCTAAGATGCTATTTGCCTTTTTCACTGTGTTGATGTTTACAACCATGCTGCAAAAGCAGTGCCGAGTAAAACTGATGGCACCAAGTTGTCATTTTATTCATCACTGACAAGCATTCACAAGAAATAGTAATATGCCAGTTTCACTTAATATCCTGATGAAGCAATAAAAATTACACATTTTATTCATTCTCGGCCCTTGAATATTATGTGTGATGAAATGGGAAGCACGCATCAAGTACTTCCAAAGTACATACAGAAGTGTGGATGTTTTGAGGAAAATTAAGTTGATTATTTGAGCTCTGAGCTGGACTAAACACTTTTTTCATGGGACATAATTTTTACTTTAACGAATGACTGATAGACATCATGGTTAGTCAGACTTGGGGATGTGGCTGACATTTTCTCAAAAATGTATGTGCCATTTAAAGGAAAAACTGAGATACTTCTTACCAATGAAAAAATTTAAGTTTTCAAGAGAAAATTGGAATCTTGGAAAAAATTCACCACCATTAACTTGATAACTTCCCAGTAGTTAGAGTTTTCTGATAGATCAGTGGATTTATTGAGTGTGATGTTTTGATATTGCATAGTAAAATGTGTCAACATTGGAAATCTGCATAGATGAGTGAAGCCATATTTTCCAAATGACAGTGTATGCAAAATATACCCTCAAATTGCAAGATAGACCCATAGATTATTTTTTTAAAATTTTCATTTTTAGAAAGAGAGGAAGGGGGGAGACAGAGAGCGAGAGAGAAATGAAAATTTTGCTTTCTCACATCTAGCCATAGTTTTCCCAACACTCTCCCCTTTCCCATTTCTTCCAATACAGTCTATCAATTCTTTTCCTTTTTCCTAGTGCCCTCTGTCTTCTTCCTGTTGGCTTGGTTGTCACTAGCTTTGTTGAATAGCTGTTATTTTGTGACTTTTTTTCACCATCCGTGCTAATTCTCTTTTCCTCTCCAATTTGAATTCCCTATTTCCTTGATTGAATATCTTTCTCTTGTCTTGCTTTACTACCTTATTTTTCTGGAATTTCTGCACAGCTGACAAAGTTTATTCTACCAGTATATTGAGTTATAGGTTGTCTTAGTATAACAGAAATCTGGGTTGGACATATATTTTCCATCAATATTTTGAAGACATTGTTCCATTGTATTTTAGCTTACAGAACTAAAGTATCCTGTTCATTTATTCAATCAACACATTTTTATTTCCTATCCTTTAAATGGCCTGCTTTTTAAAAAATTTAAAAAATAGTTAAAATAAGTACTATATTTATTTCAGGTTTACAACCTAGTTAATCAATTTTTATTTACCTACTGATGTAATAGTCTGACACCATACAAAATTATTGTGTTATTATTGACTACTAGAGGCCCAGTGCATGAAATTCGTACACTGGTAGGGTCCCTAGCAGCTGCTGGCTGCCAGCCAGGGCCTCCCTCCCTTCCCCATGCCAGCCTGCCCCCTGGTCGAACTCCCGGACAAACTCCCAGTCGAGCGGACCATTCGCATACTATGCTTTTATTATATAGGATATCCCCTATTCTGTACATTAAATCTCTGTGACTTATAACTGGAAATTTGGAACTCTTAACTCTTCTTTACCTTTTTTGCTCATCCCCCAAACTCCTTCCCCTCTGGCAGCCATCAGTTTGATCTCTGTTTCCATGAGTCTGTTTTGTTTTGTTTTGTTTTGTTTTGTTCGTTTGCTTTGTTTTTTTAATTCTACATATAAGTGAAATCATATGGTATTTGTTCTTCTCCATCTTATTGCATAATACTCCCTAGGTCAGTGATGGCGAACCTTTTGAGCTCGGCGTGTCAGCATTTTGAAAAACCCTAACTTAACTCTGGTGCCCTGTCACATAGAAATTTTTTGATATTTGCAACCATAGTAAAACAAAGACTTATATTTTTGATATTTATTTTATATATTTAAATGCCATTTAACAAAGAAAAATCAACCAAAAAAATAAGTTTGTGTGTCATAGATTCGCCATCACTGCCCTAGGTCCATCCATGTTGTCCCAAATGGCAAGGTTTCATTCTTATGGCTGAGTAACATTCCACTGTGTGTGTGTGTGTGTGTGTGTGTGTGTGTGTGAGAGTGTGTAGGCTGTTTCCATATTCGGCTATTTATCCTATATAATAAAAGCCTAATATGCAAATCAATCAAATGTTAGAATGACCGGTCAGTAGGGGGCGGCAGCGCCAGGTCAGCCAAGGCAGGTGCCAGAGGGCAGAGGGAGGTGGTGGCAGTGACCAAGCCTCTAGTTGAATTTAATAAAAGAGAAACATGCAAATTGACCATACCTCCACTATACCCACCAGCCAATCAGGAGCGAATATGCAAATAAACCCAGCTAAGATGGTGGCAGCCACAGAGCTGGAGCCAGCAGGAGGCTTGGGTTGCCCCTGGCAATGGAGGAAGCCAAGCTTCCCGCCTGCCCTACCGGCCCTGAGCTCCGCTCAAGGCTACAAAGTTCCAATTATATGAGATAAATAAATCCTAGATACCTGCTTCCAACCACCATGGCCTCCGCTCAAGGAGGGGCTGCTTCCAGCCCGACCAAGGCTACAAAGTTTCAATTATAGAAGATAAATAAATCCCAAATACTTGCTTCCAGCCCGTGGCCGTGGCCAGCCTGCAAACAGACATCATCCCCTCACCCGGGCTGGCCAGGCACCCCAGCAGGGACCTCCACCCTGAAGGGGGTGTGGCCAGCCAGAAAACAGCCATCAGCCCCTCACCCAGGCTGGCGGGGCACCCCAGTGGGGACCCCCAGCCTGAAGGGGCTGTGGCCAGCCTGCAAACCGCCATCATCCCCTCACCCAGGCTGGCCAGGCACTCCAGCGGGACCTCCACCCTGATCCGGGACACCCTTCAGGGCAAACCAGCTGGCCCCCACCCATGCACCAGGCCTCTATCCTATATAATAAAAGGGTATATAATATGCAAATTGACCCTAACAGAAGAACGACTGGGAATGACTGGTCACTATGATACATACCACCAGGGGGCAGATGCTCAATGCAGGAGCTGCCCCTGGTGGTCATTGTGCTCCCACAGGGGCAGCTCTGCTCAGCCACAAGCCAGGCTGGTGGCTGCCAGTACAGCGGTGGTGGCGAGAACCTCCCGCCTCCTCAGCAGCGCTAAGGATGTTCGACTGTAGCCTAGGCCTGCTCCCCGCTGGCAAGTGGGCATCCCCCGAGGGCTCCTGGGCTGCCAGAGGGATGTCTGACTGCCAGCCTAGGCCTGTTCCCCCAGGGAGCGGGCCTAAGCCAGCAGGTGGTCATCCCCCGAGGGGTCCCAGATTGCAAGAGGGCACAGGCTGGGCTGAGGGACTCCCCCGAGTGCACAGATTTTTGTGCACCGGGCCTCTAGTCTATATATTAAAGCCTAAGTGATCGGCCAACCGTCCAACGTGCTGGTAGCTATGATGTGCAGTGACCACCAGGGGGTAAACGCTCAATGCAGGAGCTGCCGAGATGCGGTGTCTTGGCAGCTGCGGTTCTTGGGTGATGCACCCGGAACCAGAGAGGAGGGAGCCCGATTCTGGGGTGCGTCACCCGAGAACTGCCCTCTTGCAATCCGGGACCTCTCGGAGGATGTCAGAGAGCCAGTTTTGGCCCGATCCCTGCAAGCCAGGCCAAGGCACCCCACCGGTGCACAAATCCGTGCACCTGGCCTCTAGTTGTAAATAATGCTGCAGTGAACATGGGGTATATATATCTTTTTGAGTAAGTGTTTTTGTTTTCTTTGGTTAAACCCAGATGTGACTTGCTGGGTCATATGATAGCTCTGTTTTTAATTTTTTGAGGAAACTCCATAGTTTTTCCATAATGGCTGTACCAATTTACCTTTTCACCAACAGTACATGATGATTATTCCCTTTTCTCTACATCCTTGCCAACACTTATTGTCTTTGATGATAGACTGATAGGTGTGAGATGATATCTCATTGTGTTTTTGATTGGCATTTCCCTGATGATGAGTAATGTTGAGCACCGTTTTGTGTATCTGTTTATTTGGAAAAACATGTATTGAGATCTTCTGCCTATTTTTTAATTGTATTGTTTGTTCTTTTCCAATTGAGTTGTATGAATTCTTTATATATTTTGGATATTACCTCCTTATCACATATAGAATTTGCAAATATTTCCTCCTATTTGGTAGGTTGCCTTTTCATTTCATTCTTTTGAGATTTTTTTTTTTTTTTTGCTATGTGAATCCTTTTTAGTTTGATGTAGTCCCACCTGTTTACTTTTTATGTTGTTGCCAAATCAGAAAGTCTGCCAAGACTAATGTCAAGGAGCTCATTGTCTACATTTTCTTCTAGGAGTTTAATGGTTTCAGATTTTACTTTCAAGTCTTTAATCCATTTTGAGTTAATTTTTGTGTATGGTGGAAATTAGTGGTCCATTTTCATTCTTTTGTATGTGGCTGTTCATTTTTCCCAGCATCATTTATTGAAGAGACCCTTTGTTCTTTGTATATTCTTTGCTTCATTGTCATAAATAGACCATCGATAGGTAGGTTTGGTTCTGGGCTCTCTATTCTTGTTTTATTGATTTTGTGTCTTTTTATGCCAATATCATACTGCTTAATTACTATAGCTTTGTAATGTAGTTTGAAGTCAGAGAGTATGATGCCTCCAGCTTTGTTCTCTCTCAAGATTACTTTGACTATTTGGGGTCTTTTGTAGTTTCATACAAATTTTATGATTGCTCTATTGCTGTAGTGAATGTAATTGGAATATTTATGGGGATTATATTGAATCTATAGATTGCTTTGGATACTATGGACATTTTAGTAGTACTAATTCTTTCAATCCATGGGCACAAAATATCTTTCCACTTATTTGTGTTTTCATTAATATCTTAAAATTTTCAGTATACAGATCTTTCACGTCCTTGGTTAAATTTGTTCCTAGGTATTTTGTTTAATGCAAATGCAATTGTTAATTTCTCTTTCAGATTGTTATATAGAAGTCCAACAGATTTTTGTATGTTGATTTTGTATTCTGCAGATTTACTGAATTCTGTTAATTCCAACAGTTTTTTGGTGTGGAGTCTTTGGTTTATATATATATATATATATATATATATATATATATATATATATATATATATATATATATTTATACAAATAGTGACAGTTTTATTTCTTCCTTTCCAATTGGGATGCCTTTTATTTCTCTTTCTTGCTTAATTGCTACTTATTAATCTTTCAGTGTTGAGGTTTTAGCTATTGATCCTTCCCACTACCGATGATGGAAATCTAGCCCTCTTTCTTCCTCATACCTATTATCATACATACTAGAGGCCCAGTGCACAAAACCGTGCGTGGGTATGGTCCCTAGGCCTAGACTGTGATCAGGGCCATTTTCCCCAGCAGCCTGCCCTGACCCTTGCCTCCACCCACCCGGGTTCCCTGTTCGCCATCCAGCGATGGGGGCCTGAAGACTGGGGGAGGGACCAAGAGTTCGGACGTTCCCACCCACTTGCCAGCCCCACCCCTGCTGCAGGTCGCCCTCTGTGTGTGGGGCGACCGATTGGCAGGGCGGGGGCCTTGGCCTGGCGCCACCTGCATCCCCTGCCACCCAACCCGGGTCCCTGTTCGCCATCGGTGGCAATTGGAACCTGCGGGCCAGGGGTAGGGACCAAGAGATCGGCCCATTCCGCCCGCTCACCAGTCCCGCCCCCCGCTGCCACCCTCCTGGGTTCCCGTTCCCCATCAGGCGATGGGAGCCTGATGGCAGGGGGAGGGATCGAGAGGTCAGCTGTTAACGCCTGCTCGCCGCCCCACCCCTGCCGCAGGTCACCCTCTGGGTGTGGGACGACCAAGCAGGACAGGGGCCTTGGTCTGGCGATGCCCGCATCCCCCGCCACCCACCCCAGATCCCCGTTTGCCATCGACGATCGATCGGAGCCTGCCGGCCGGGGCAAGAGACCAAAAGGCGGTCACTGCACCTCATAGTGACTGGTCAAGCAGTCGTTCTGTTTGTTCTGCTGTTATGGTCACTGGGTTTTTATTATATAGGGTATTCCTATCCTCTACAACTTCCCAATAGATTGGTTACATCAGTATTCAAATGTTTACTTTCTTCTTTCCTATCCTCTCCACTACTTCTAGCTACTCCAATTAGACCACTCCATTGAGAATACTCTCGTCATCATTCATCCCAAATGACCAAGACAAAGATAAAATCTAAATTTGCATCTTACTCAACCTTCCTTTTTTTTTCTTTCCTCAGTTTTTGATATGTTCGACCACTCCCTCTTTGAAAAGCTTTCTTCACTTGGTTTCTGGACTGCCACCTGGTTTTCTTCCTGTGTCACTGTCGTTCTTTCTGTGCTTAATTTGCTGATTCCACTCTTTTATTTTTCCCCTGTAAAAATATTAATTGTCCCAGGGTTTTCCTCTGCCCCCTTTTCTTTGCTTTCCTTATGCAGTCTAATTTTTTTTTCCATGAGCAACTGGATATCCAGTTGCTATTCAACATTTCTATTTGGGTTTTATAAATAAGCATTTCAAGCATTGTATGGTCCCAACCAAATTATAGATTTCTTTTATCAGATCCTCTAATCACATCCCCATGTCACTACATCCATCATTATCCAGTTGCTCAGTCCAATTATCTATCAGTATTTCTTTCTTCCTCATCTTTCACATCCAACCCATCATTACATATCAAAACCTATTTAGTTCCTCATGTCCCCACAGTTCACTTGCTAATGTGATTCCTGCCTAGATCTCCAACTACTTGCCTAATTGCTAATTTCACTCTAACTGATCTTTCTACTTCCCTCTTTCCTTAATTCATTCACCATTTCACAGACTAATCAAAGAGATACATTTAAAGTATAAATCAAATCATTCCCTCTGCTACTTTAAAACCTTCCCATGGCTTTCTGTTATGACTTGACTTAAAAACCAAACACCTCCCGAAGCTTTCATCACATCACACCTCCCTCATCTGAGCCTTGTCTACCACAAGCCTCATCTCCCCATCTCCTTTCATCCCTGGGCACTCTTGGCCTTCTTTCTGCTACATCTTATTTCCATCAGGGCCTCTGCTTTTGTTCTACCTTGTTCTTGTAGAATGTCTCCCCCAATATCTTCCCTTAACTACCCCTTTCTCATTGTTTTGGTTTCAACTCAAATATTTTTAGATCGAATATTGTTTGATACAAGCTAGGAAGCCCTTTTCGTTACTGAATCACCATTCCTTTTTCATCTTCCCAATAGCACCTCTTGTACCTAAAACTGTATAAATGTGTTTTCAGAATTTCACTCTAGAACATAATTTCCTCCCTTCATTCTAAGTCCGTGGAACAGTTTCTGGCACATGGAAGAATGTTGTTGACTGACACAATTCATAAGACAAAAGCATCAAAAAAAGCAGTACATTTTAAATGTTTCATTTACTTTGTATATTGTTATTCCCCATCAGAAATAAACAGTTTTGACTCAGAGAACCTAAAATTTGTTTTAAGCAGCATTTCAAAGTGCTCAAATTCCTAGGATACTGAACTTACCTCTGCCATGCTCAAATATGAGTACCAAAAAAGAATATTCGAGGTAAATTTGGGATAACCCCTTTCTTTCGCTATATCTCATATACGTTAGAGTTGATCACCAGCTTTTAATGAATGTTATATGCTGTTTATGTCATAAAGGTTTACATCATCAATCATATTGGAATTTTTAAATGTTCTGTTATTATGCAACAGTTTGCTTTCTGAATGTATTTAACTGGGAATAGAATCAAGTGCATGAGCAGATTCACCATCAAACATGGCTTCAAGATTTTAACTGATTTTCCTCCATACAATATCTTAAAGGGAGGTATTTTTTTACTTTAACTTTTGCCTCTTTGTGTAATTTTGTTAATTGCCACAAACTCCAAAGCAATGGAAATATGTTGGTAGTCTAAATAATAAAGGGGTAGGGGAGGAGATCCTGGATAGAGAATGTAGTGAGTAGTTTGTTTTATGGGTAAACAGAACTCAAACTGTGCATTGCTTGCATTTATCTGGCATTTCTATCCCTGCTTGTATCAGTTCCATTTTGTGCATCTTTGGCTGAAACCCTGTTAGAGTTTGCAGAGAGCTCCTGTGCTTACACCATCTTACTACTTGGTTCCGTATTTTAAGTGAATGGCTGGCTTTCAGCTCTAAGGAGGTAGGGTCCCATGAAATGAAGAAAAGTTAGCTGGAGAAGCCAAAGAAGAGGGTAAATGTGAGAGTGGGTATCTGAGCTACTAGGGAACATCTATGTGTTCTGGCCTCTTAGGGAGAGGGTGTGTATGAAGGAACATGAGTAATGAGACTAGCTTGGTTTGAACCAGGTACCCTGAGACTTGCATGAAGCAAAGGCATCATGCAGGTGATTTTCTATGGATATTTTAAAGAGTTATTTAGCCCTCAAATAATTGGGGATATGTTTTGTCTGGGTGCCTCTTTAAAGTGTTTTCCACCTACTCCAGACTTTTCTTGTCTAGTCTATAGACTTACTAATGTCATTATTGACCAGCCCATAGCTACACATGTATATTACATATCACACAGCTAAACACTGGAGGAGGAGCAGAGGGAGAAACTAAGATGTTGGCAGCACACTGAATATTCAAACTGAAAATGTGTGATTTAAGGGAGAAGAGGCTTTGCTACACTAATTTATTATCTCTGGTCTTCCAAAAACCTTTGTATTTAGTTTTAGATTCAATAGTTTTAGGCCAAGAATATAGAAACTATGTTTGACTTGATTTATAATACCCTTTATGTCTCTGTATTTTAACAGGGCAGCCCTGTATTATATCGAAATGTTACTTCTTTAAAAGAGCGCATATCTGCCTTCCAGTCGGCTTTTCACTCCGTACAGGAAAAGGAAAAAATTACTGACTGTCCTGAGTTCTCAGAGGCAGAGGGGTTCCAGACAACAGGCTTGAGTGAGTAGAAAATATTTCAGTCAGTTTGGACTTCTGTGGAATTCAGACAAGCCTCTGAGATATAAAAAAGATTTAGTTCACAGTGCAAAAGCAGTCTTTCTGAACAGAGTTGTGTTTTTAAATGGAGTCTAACATTCAAGATTTGGGACATTTCATGTAAAAACCTTGATTTCTGGTTCTCTTGAAAAAAACCTGAATGTCAAGCATTTCTGAGCCTCCACGTCCACATGGTCACAGTTAAGTTTTAGATGTAAAACTGTCAGAGCTGATTAGCTCATTTCATCTTTATAATAGCCCATGTGACAAATTTGAGTGTGCAAACTTGATTTTTAGAGGATTATTAAGTTTGGCAAGCATTTACATGAATACCAAACACCCATCCCCGATATTATAAACTGATCTATCCAATCTGACATCTTTATAGCCTGCCATATTCTTTATAATAACTTTTAGATTATAATTCATTTGGTTATTTTTTTTGTCACCTTTGATTTTCCAATCACAAAACATTTCAAATACTAGAATTAGATGAATCTTGGCCTTATCCATAATCATCAAAATCATACCTCTACTGCTCTGCACCCTAAGTAAGGTTCCACATGATTTTGTTTTGGTGTCTTGAACCATCTTCAAGTAATTTCAACACCTCCTTGTGTGCAGTGCACTTCAACTCAAGACAAGTTTAATTCATCTACCTGTTAGTGCGTGACCACTCTCATGTACTCATTTTTATTTGTAGTTTGTAACTTACGTATTTTTCTTTTACCTGGGTTTTAAAATATGTTATTAACATGATTATTATAATTCTGCAAAGAATAACATTCTTTTTTGTAGCTAAGAACTGGGGCACATTGTGGCTGTATTTTCATAAACTCATACACAAAGCAGAACCAATATTAGAACATAACCACATCCTTTGAAATGTTCAAAAAAATAAGTTTTAATATAAATTTAAAAACAGAATGAGATACTGTATCACCAATGCCAATGTATTTTAGCATATCTTTCTGTATTTTATAGTCTGAAAAAACTTAATTATAATTCAATATGTTTTTCTAAGTAAATTTGTGTTAATCTTTTTAGTAGTCCTGTTCACTTGTCTTTCCATTATATTTTCTTTTTTGAATTAAAAATTTTACTAGATTTTCCTATTCATTTCTAAAGTCTTTAGAATCAAGCATTAAATCATACTAAAATTATGATGTACAAAATTGTAAAAGAAAATACTCATGCCTATTTTGTTTTTGTTTTGTTTTGTGTTTACAGCCAAAAGGGAAAGTCTTGGTGAATGTCAGCAGTTTGCGTTCCTTGCACGGTTATCCAAACGTCGGAGAATATCTTCTCAGAGCAATTCTGATGAAAATCTAACTAATGCAGTTGGTCCCCAGATGTTTGTTGTTGCTACTCCTTCCAGTACAGACAGAACATGCGCTTTTCAAACTTCTCTTGTAGATCTTTCTGAGGTAACTCCCTTATTGGAAACATAGGAAAATAAAGCTTTGCTTTCCTGGCGAGGTAGTTTTTTTTTGTTGTTTTTTAAAAATATATTTTATTGATTTTTTACAGAGAGGAAGGGAGAAGAATAGAGAGTTAGAAACATTGATGAGAGAGAAACATCAATCAGCTGCCTCCTGCACACCCCCTACTGGGGATGTGCCCTCAACTAAGGTACATGCCCTTGACCGGAATCAAACCTGGGACCCTTCAGTCCGCAGGCCGACGCTCTATCCACTGAGCCAAACCGGTTAGGGCCTGGCGAGGTAGTTTTAAAGATCCTTTTTTTAGTTAGAGTTCCTTGTACTGCTATATTATAGCTGGGTTTCAGATTACATGAGTGTGTGTATTTCCTACTTATTAATTTTTATTGTTAGTTGGCTTATTGGTTTTTAGAGACAGTTTTGATTAAACACCTTCTGAAAAAGTTTTTATAAAAAGATTAAGCAGTTTGAGGTATTGTTGCAATAGGTGCTGATGGTACAACAGAAAGTTACAGTCCTGTCCTTGGAGTAGCTTTTTGTCTGACAAAGGAGGCTGACATGAGTATTTTGTTTACACATTACTGGTAAATTAGAAAATTATACTGTACTCCTCAGGCCTGTGGGTCTTGGCACTTCTGCCTTGGTACCTCTATGTTTGTTTTGCAAGGATTGATTTTATTTATTTTTAAATTGAATTTATTGGGGTGATATTGGTGTTACCAGAAATGGGACCTGACCCTGAGCGGGTCTGCCTAGGACCTGTGGGTAGTATGTGGGTTCTTGACCTCGTGCAGGGAAGATTTCACAGTACCAGTCCAGGGGATTTTGAGAGGACGTTTATTAAAGCTGGGTTCAGAGAAACAAGGAAGGGCCTAGAACAGAAGCAGCAACAGGTGAGGGACTAGGTGGGGAAATGAGCCCAGACTGGGCTGCTTTGGCTCACTAAGGCGTCAGAGAAAAGGGGGCCTTGGTCACAGGGTCAGGGGGTTAGTCCTGGACGCTGCCCATTGCTCCCCAGTTGCAAGTTGCTTGGAGTCCCTTAGAGTTTAGGAATGAGTGCTTGTGGGGGAAGAAGAGGCTGAATGGAAAGGCGCAGGGCGTGCTCCTGGCAGGGAGAGCACACGCTCTGACTGGTTTAATAATTGCTATTTAGCAATTGCTCCTTTGCTCTGCTCACTTGCCTCAAGGAACTAAGGACTTTTGTTGCTGATAACTTAAGCCTGTCAAGATTATCTGAAGACCAACCTGAATGAAATAATATTATTGATCTTCACTCAAATGTAAACAGGGAGCTAGTTCTCTCATGACTTCCTGTTTCAAACTGTTACTTTTGGTTTGAACAGCAGGTTCCCATTTCTTCAGTGAGAAGAGACACCTAACCATTAGAATTGAAACCTTTTTTCTGTACCTTCTCTGTCACATTGATACAGTACATGTCCAAATGATTTTGTTTAGACTGGTCTAAGTGTTTGATAGTCAGTTAAAGATTCTTCAGGGTCCAATAGGTTTCGTTCAGAGTTGCTTAGAATCTCTACTCCCTCTACCTTATTCTAGCTAATATGAAATCATCATCTGACAGAATGGATAATAATTGTTTCTTATCAAAACTTTGATTGTTTGGACATATACCATGATTAAGAAATGGTTTCCACATTAATATGAGTGTTTTCTATCCTAGCCATTAATGCTTTTCCTATCATAGCTATTGATACTTTTGTTGTTTGATTAGTAATTATATAACATTTTCTGTTATTTAGAGAATTTCTTCTTTAATGAATGTAGTTAGCATAATTTCTAGACTTCAAATAAGGTAACAAAAATGCCTAGGGAATACAATTAGAATGAATATTCTGTTTTTAGTTAGATTCTCCTTCCTATACTTTTGAGATCAGATAATGAAGGTGATAAAATTGCCTCATTGATTGGTTTGACATTATATTTCTAGGTTATCTGCATTGCTTACTCAAACCTTTAAAAAGATATCAGTAATTCTGTAATTAATAAGATTTGGTACTTTTTTTGTGTGCACTTTTTTCCCCCCCAAGAAACTTTCTGAACCTGGTTTAACACAGTCTGGATGTTTAGTTGAAGAATCTGTTTCACTTCCTGAGCTCACAGAGGCTTCAGCTGGTAAGTACTTAATTTTTCCTTAGTATGCGTGCCAGTTCACCTATTGAAATATCTGTTCAATAGACATCTATACTTGGTGTACCTACATGCTGAAATTTGGGAAAACTAAAACACTTCCCTACATTTTAAGAGCTCTTGGTCTATTAGAAATGTTTCAGAATTCTTTTTACTTGAGAGAGGGCATTGTTTTCTTTGAAAAAGAATTAAGTGAAATATTTCCAACCTAATAAAATGTATTGTAAAGACTAGGATCTCTGAACATATTAACAGGTACATTTTGTTAGAAAAAACACTACACATGATTTTGTTTTGTTTTGTTTTGTTTTGTTTAAGGTTGTGGGAAAAGGGACCAGGATTCAAATTTTAGTCTTTTCCAAAATCAGTGTACTTATATTGAAGTATTAGGTTTATTTTCAACGTACCTGTGTCTCTCTTTAAAGTAAAACTCTTGTATTGTGTTTTTTTTTAATCCATCTGAGATTCTCTTCTTTTAATTGGAATGTTTCGCTCATTAACCTTTCAAGTCAGTAGTGATATGGTTTGATTTAAATCTACCATTTTAGCATACATTTTCTGTTTATTCTCTTAATCTTTTTTTCTTTGTTTCCCTCTTTGTGTCTTTTTTATGTTTACTTGAAAAAAAATTTTTAAGTAAATTATTGTTACCTTTTATTTATTTTTTATTATTATTTTTAAAAATATATATTTTATTGATTTTTACAGAGAAGAAGGGAGAGGGATAGAGAGTTAGAAACATCAATGAGAGAGAAACATCGTTCAGCTGCCTCCTGCACACTCCCTACTGGGTATGTGCCCGCAACCAAGGTACATGCCCTTGACCAGAATCGAACCTGGGACCCTTGAGTCTGCAGGCCGACGCTCTATCCACTGAGCCAAACTGGTTAGGGCTATTTTTTATTTTTTTGAATGTAAATTTTTTTATTGTTGATAGTATTACAGATCTCTCCCATTCCTCCCCTTTACTCCTCCCCTCCCAGCCCCTACCTCTCTCCCCCCACCCCCACCCCGGGGTCTTCACTATCCTATTGCCCTGTCCATGGGCTATGCATATCCTATATAATAAAGAGCTAATATGCCAGTTAGACCGGATGGCGGAATGACCTTCTGGAAGGACCAGTGGGTGTTGGGGTCAGCGAGCCTGCGCCACCAGGCTTCTGGTTGAGCGGTGCTCCCCACCTTCGCTCAGCCAGAAGCCGGGCTCGTGGCAGCGCTAAGAATGTCCGAATGCCGGCTTAGGCCGCCCCAGCCTAAGCTAGCAGTTGGACATCCCCTGAGGGCTCCCGGACTGCGAGAGGGGTGCAGGCCGGGCTGAGGGACCCCCCTCCCCCGAGTGTATGAATTTCGTGCACCGGGCCTCTAGTAAGTATATAAGTTCTTTGGTTTATCCCTTCTTCATCCCCCCCCCCGCATCGAGGTATGTCAGTTTGTTCCATGTCTCCAGCTTCAAGTCTTATTTTGTTGGTCAGTTCATTAGATTCCACAAATAAGTGAGATCATGTGATATTTGTTTCTCAGATGAACTTATTTCACTTACATAATAGTCTCCATGTCCATCCATGCTGTCCCAAAGGGTAAGAGATCCTTCTTTTTTACAGCTGCATTGTTTTCCATTGTGTAAATGTCCACAGCTAGTTTATTCATTCATCTGTTGATGGGCACTTGGGCTGTTTCTAAATCTTAGCTATTATAAACAATGCTGCTATGAACATAGGGGTGCATATATTCTTTCTGATTGGTGTTTTGGGGTTTTTAGGTTATATTCCAAGAAGTGCAATCTCTGGGTCAAACAGAAGTTCCATTTTTAAGTTTTTGAGGAAATTCCCTACTATTTTTCATAGTGGCTGCACCATCTGCATTCCCACCAGCAGTGAACTAGTGTTCTTTTCTCCATGTCCTCACAAGCATTTGTTGTTACTGATTTTTTTATTATAGCCATTTTGACCAGGTGTGAGGTGATATATCTCATTGTGGTTTTAATTTGCATGTCTCTGTTAATTAGTGACTTTGAGCATTTTTTCATATGTTGCTTGGCCATTTGTATGTCTTTGGAGAAATGTCTCTTCAGGTCCTCTGCCCGTTTTTTTTTTTTAATATATTTTATTGATTTTTTACAGAGAGGAATGGAGAGAGATAGAGAGCTAGAAACATCGATGAGAGAGAAACATCGATCAGCTGCCTCCTGCACGCCCCCCACCGGGAATGTGCCCGCAACCAAGGTACATGCCCTTGACCGGAATCGAACCCAGGACCCTTGAGTCCGCAGGCCGACGCTCTATCCACTGAGCCAAACCGGTTCTGGCATCTCTGCCCGTTTTTTAATGGGATTGTTTGTCTTCTTTTTTTTTGGGGGGGGGGAGGTTGTATGAGTACTTCATGTGTTTAGGATATTAACCCCTTATTAGATGTATCTTTGGCAAATACGTTCTCCCATACGATGGGTTCCCTTTTCATTTTTATTTTCTTTTGCTGTGCAGAAGCTTTTTATTTTGGTGTAGTCCCATTTGTTTATTTTTTCCTTTGTTTCTCTTGCCCTAGGAGATGTATTGGCAAAAATTCTGTTATGTGAGATGTCTGAGATTTTACTGCCTGTTTTTTTTTCTAATATTTTTATGGTTTCATGCCTTACATTTAAGTCTTTTACCCATTTTGTGTTTATTCTTGTATATGGTGTAAGGTGATGGTCTATTTTTATTTTTTTTACATTTCCAGTTTTCTCAACACCATTTTTTGAAAAGACTGTCTTTACTCCACTGTGTATTCTTGCCTCCTTTGTCAGATATTAATTGACCGTAATGGTGTGGGTCAATTTCTGGGGTTTCTGTTCTGAACCATTTGTCTATATGCTTCTTTTTGTCCCAGTACCAGGCTGTTTTGGTTATAATGGCTTTGTAGTATAGTTTCATATCTGGTATTGTAATCCCTCCAACTTTGTTCTTCTTTCCCAAGATTGCTATGGCCATTCGGGGTCTTTTATGGTTCTCTATAAATTTTTGGAGTATTTGTTCTAGTTATGTGAAGTGTGCCATTGGTATTTTAATAGGGATTGTGTTGAATCTGTAGATTGCGTTGGTTAGTATAGACATTTTAGTGATGTTAATTCTTCCAACCTATGAACATGGTATATGTTTCAATTTGTTTGTATCTTCCTCTATTTCTTTTTTCAATGTCCTATAGTTTTCCAAATACAGGTCTTTTACCTCTTTGGTTAAGTTCATTTCTAGGTATCTTATCTTTTTGTTGTAATGGTAAATGGGATTGTTTTTTTAGTTTCTCTTTCTGAGAATTCATTACTGCTGTATAAAAATGCCATCAATTTCTGGATGTTGATTTTGTATCTTTCTACCTTGCCGAATTCATTTATTAAGCCTAGTGGTTTCCTGATGGAGTCTTTAGGATTTTCTATGTACAATATCATGTCATCTATGAATAATGACAGTTTTATGCCCTCCTTTCCAATTTGGATGCCTTTTATCTCTTCTTGTCTGATTGCTGTGGCTAGGACTTCTAGTATTAAGTTGAATAAGAGTGGGGAAAGTGGACATCCTTGTCTTGTTCTTGTTTTAAGGGAAACTCTTTTAGTTTTTGCCCATTGAGTAATATGTTGGCTGTAGGTTTGTCATACATGGCATTTATTATGTTGAGGTATGATCCCTCTAGTCCCACTTTACTAAGAGAATTTTTATTAAAAAAGGTTGCTGGATTTTGTTGAATGCTTTTTCTGCATCTATTGATAGGATCATGTGATTTTTATTTATTTTTTGTCAGTTACATATTTATCGAAAGATAATCTGGCTTTAAATAGTTATGTACATACAAATATGAACAAACTTAAAAAAATACAAACCCTTGGATTATAAGGGAGCTAGATCATGTGATTTTTATCTTTCATTTTGTTTATATGCTGTATCATCATATTTATTGATTTGCAAATATTGTACCAGCTTTGCATCCCCAGAATTGATCATGCTGTATGATCATTTTAATATATTGCTGGATCTGATTTGCTAATATTTTGTTGAGGATTTTAGCATCTGTGTGCATCAGGAATATTGGCCTGTAATTTTCTTTCTTTGTAGTGTCTTTACCTGGTTTTGGAATTAGGGTAATACTGGCTTCATAAAAAGAGCTTGGAAGTATTCAAGCTTGAATTTTTTGGAATAGTTTGAGGAGGATAGGTGTTAGTTATTCATTGAATGTTGGTAAAATTCTCCTGTAAATCCATCCGGGCCAGGACTTTTGTTTGTTGCAAGTTTTTTAATGACTGCTTCAATTTCATCAGTTGTTATTGGCCTACTCAGATTTTCTGATTCTTCCTGGTTGAATTTTGGAAGATTGTATGTTTCTAGGAATTTGTCCATTTTGCCCAGGTTGTCCCGTTTGTTGGCATATAGTTGTTCATAGTATTTGCTTACAATCTTTTGTATTTCTGTGGTGTCTGTTTTTATATTGCCTCTTTCATTTCTGATTTTATTTTGTTTCTTGATTTTATTTTGATTCTTGATGAGTCTGGATTCATCAATCCTGTTTATCTTTTCAAAGAACCAGAACTTGGATTCATTGATCTTTTGTACTATTCTTTTTCGTTTCTATATCATTTCTTCTCTGATCATTCTTCTGCTTCCTCTGGACTTTTCTTGCTGTTGTCTTTCTAATTCATTTAGTTGTAGGGTTAGATAGCTTATTAGTGCTTTTTCTTATTTCTTGAGGTAGGTCTGTAATGCTATGAACTTCCCTCTCATGACTGGTTTCACTGTGTCCCATAGTATTGGTTGGTTGGTTGTTCATTTTCCAGGAAGTTTATTTTTTAAAAAATATATTTTATTGATTTTTTTTACAGAGAGGAAGGGAGAGGGATAGAGCGTTAGAAACATCAATGAGAGAGAAACATCGATCAGCTGCGTCTGCACACCCCTACTGGGGATGTGCCCACAACCAAGGTATATGCCCTTGACCGGAATTGAACCTGGGACTCTTCAGTC